TTAACTCCATACTATTACAGAGCAAGTTGGAGAACTTCAAAGGAAGTCTATTTTCTAGTTTGCCCTGTGGATAGAAAATATGCTTTGCTTTCTCTAGATACGTTCCCAGAAACTTACATATGCCATCACGGAGTGATGAGCAGAACCCAGGCTATGTACAGCTTGATGAAATCCTCTAAATATAGTTTGTTAGGTACAGGAATACTGTTGTAACAGTCCTGTCTTCTCTTCTGTAGGCTTAGTTGTCCTTGGTTTCTGAACCTATGCTTACACGCCCAGTTTCCTAGGCTTCCAGGCATTTCCTTTACTAACATCTAAACGATCTACATTGGGCCACTTTTTTCTGCCAATCTCGTGCTCCAGAAACTCTGTAATTTATGGACTTACAGGTGTCCTCCAATCTGCTGACCGTACAGCTTTCCCTAGTCTGCATTGCCTCTGCTCCTGGCACAGGAGAATTACAGGGATCTGTGGTTCTTCTTGTCATCTGCTGGGATGAGAGGACTTGTGAATTCAAACCCCCACAGAAGTGGAAGTGCTAAGAGCACAAGAAGGATATGGATCAACAGGAGCTAAACAGAGTGATAAAATCTGGCACCTCAAAGGAGCTCATCAGTTCAAATTTTGCTTATCAGTAAAACTTGTGGGAACAGTTTAGCTACCCAGTTACTCCTGATGGAGAAGCGTGAACCCTAAGATTTTTATCTGTAAAAGCAGGATGCAGTCCTGTGCCACAACCACAGGCTGCTTTTCAAGCCCATCTAAATGTGAGATTGCTACAAGGGAGAAAGCCAGCTCTGAAGGGCTTAGTCCTGTATTATCTCAAGAGTTGCAATGTTAATTTCCACACAGTTCAGTTATTTTATCAGAACCTGCAGTGGAAAATACCTGTCTGTGAAATCGCACCAATTTCTTCTGTTCCTGGGATTACTCTGTAGAATTGAGAGCTGAGTCAGGCGCTTGGTGTTCTGGTTCTGAGTTGCAAACGTTGACTGCAGCCTTTGTGCTCTGTTTGGGATGCTCAATGCCTCGTGCTCAGCCCCCGCCGCAGCCCCCTGCTTTGCCATTGGACCGTGAGGCTGCGGTGTCCTCGTGTGCCGCGGCCGGGCGGAGGAGGTCTGGCAATGCAAGTTGGGTGCCTGGCTCTGCTGCCTGTTCCCTCTGTGAGTTTGGTGGCTGGTCCCAGAATTCCCACGTAGTCCATTTGTATCCATCGGTGTAGGTGAGGATACTCAGCATCCAAGGGTTGCTGCCTGGAAAATTTCACCTGTATTCAGGGGATAGGATCAGGGGATCACATCTCCCACTGTAAATCGCCTTTCTGTCTGGGGCATTTTCCTTCACCGATGTATCAATCCAATCTAAGCTCCATCCCCGAGGGGTTTTTTAGAGAGTAAAAGCTGCTTCGCAAGCAAATTCCTGTTACGACAGTCATGAGCCGTCATTGTTCATCTTGCTCACGTCATCATACGCAGGGTTGTACCGTGACTGGTGCTGGAGGAGCTCAGCACTGCAAGGGTTCTCCGAGTAAAACATGTACAAATGCAGCTAAGGAAAACTATCCTTCTGTCATCTGTTCTGCAGCTCAGAAGCCTGCGTAACTCTTGACTGCATTATAAAAGGAAAGGTAAATAAAAAAAAATTCATGTGTGTGTTCTCCGGTCAGAAGATTATCATACTGATACGTTACCATCTTCTTACTTCCCAAGCTCAAATGAACAAAAAGCAACTCTCTCCTGAGCCAGGAAATTCCTTCAACCAGTAATTTTTTCTCCTGATCTAGTGAGCTCCGTGGGAATAGTGGGGTTTTTATTATTATCATCATTATTATTGTTATTATTATTATTGTAAACTGCTCCAGGAACTGTTTCAACAAGTAAACCTTACATTGTTTTCAGATAATGTTCTTAACTTCCCAACAAGATTTACTAAATTGCACCCTGGGAATTATGCAAATGAAACCTTTGGTCAAAATGTTACAGGATTGCTGTAAAAAAAAAAAAAAAATTTTTTTAAATCTCATTGAGAGTGCTAAAATTACATGTTCCGATATACAAAGCATGTGCTTTTGTGTGATGAGTATCTCCCTGGTAGTAATATGTACTATGCTTCATTGTCAATGGTCATTGCAACTTTCTGTGACAAGTGCTACTTCTTACTTGATTTTTTTCTGAACACCTGATATCTTTGTATTCTTACTGGAAATGGCGTTAAGTACAGGTAAAAGGCAAACCATTGTAGTATGATGGCAATTAACAACAAATAATGAGTCATTGCTGAATATTTGCAACATGTTTCCTCCTATCTTTGTTTTGCTCAGTGCAGTATAATTAGCTCATGGATTCTTCTTGGTATAATTGGGCAAGTCGTGTGGGTCTTACGATACATTTCATCTCCTAGATCTGCAGTGATTTACATACAGACAGCTTAGACCCTATTAATGCTAATAAAAGTGCTGCAAGGACATCCTATAGCACACACTTTATTAAACTGTACATAGCTTTCTTAGAGAGCTTCTGTTTATCTGCATTTCCTGAAAATAAAATATAGCGCCTTTAGCACTGAATATTTAAATCCAGCCTCCTTTTCCCTGTTTCTGTCTCTCTCTATGCATTTCTAATGCTTCTATCACAATGGGATCTGGGTACTCTATGCAACAGGAAATAGAGCAGAAAAATGTCCACGTAGAACTAACAGACTCTCTCCTTCCATGATTCAGGTTAAAATTGCTTCCATTTTAGTTCCTTGGAGGGAGACTGATTTGCTGTTTGGTGCTTGTGCTCAAGTTACAACCATAGTTGAGCCAGGTTGGAGCTGGGGCTGGGGCACCCTCCCGACACCCTTCCGGCTCTCATGCTTCAGTGAGCTAAAAGGCAGGAAAAGTGCAGATACTTTGGATTTGTTTTTGTTATTTTGTTCTTTTGCCTTTGTTAAGGTAAAACTCTGTTAAGGATGAAGGGCTGGTTTTATCCTGATGCATTACAGGTCCTTTGGAGCTGTGCAGGCACACATTGATAGAGACAGACGTACAACTGTGTGTCCCAAGTTACCATTTTTTTCCTTCTCTTTTTAATTTCCGAGATGGGAACCCTGCACTAGCTCAAAGCTGGAGGTCCAGCAGTGGCTTCCTACCTTGAGCCTAGCTGCAAACATGTAGGTAGTGGGTTAGAGCTTGAACTCCCTGACTTGAGCTATATGTTTGCGCAGATATTCACATAAATTCAATTTTCAGCCCTTTCTGCTTGGCAGGGTGAAAGCTGACTTTCTGAAAATGGGGACTGCGGACTTCAGTTATTGAACTATTGAGTCAGTTGCTGTCATTAAAACCACAGTTGTGCAAGCAAAACTTGGTTTTAATACACTCTTTTTCACCCACGGATTTGCTAATGAAAATTGGATTCATACCTGTCTACTTGGGTCCCTGTTACAAACACCCACTGGGCACACAGAAACCTGTATAAACACTTTCACAATGTCCCCAGTACCTCTTTTAAGTGATTATACCAGTGTAAGTCCAATCAGTTTTCCTTGGTACTAATAGCCTAAACAAGCAGTGAATCCTGGAGAGAAAAGACAGATGAAACTGTCTCTATTCCCTGACCTTCAGCTCCAGAAGTGTAGGTGCAGCACGAATCAATCCTGGCAGTGTCTAGTAATAACTGACATTATTAGCCGTTAGCGGGAGCAGACTGTTTGGGGGAGGCAGTACAAAGAAAACAGTGTACAAACTTGGTAATGATGTGGACAAAGGCATCAAAGGAGATTCTCAGAGCCAGGGGATCTGATACTATTCTGCACCGACACGTTCAGCGTCTTGCCAGCCTCCCGCGTCAGGAGAGGAAGAAATAGTGGTAGGTCACATGCGGAGGGAGTGCGAGAGCAGCCCACGGCCCCATCCCATTTCCTTTGCCTGACAAGTGAAGCCTCCTCTTCCCTTGGAAAACCACCTTTGCTCCCCAAACTGGGGCTGTTTAGGGGGGCACAGGGGCCTGCTGCATCCCGCTGAGCCCACTCAGGCTCCTCCAAGCATGCAGCTGCCATAGCAGAGATGCTAACATGCACTCAGCTACGAGATTTCTATTATCTTCCCACTATTTTGTTGTATTCATAGACCTGGTAGGAAAAAATTTATGCACGTTGCTTTTACACTGCCAAGACAGTTTGTGATGGTGTGGGGGGGTGGTAATTTATTTGTACCTTGCACTTTCTTTCAGGAATAGTCATGCTGTTGCAAGAACTTCTTTCAGCATTTGATCAGAAAATTAAATTTGGGTTTAAAGAGATAGTCAGGGTTGCTAGGACAACATATTAACCTCCCTTTTTTATTTTCACAGCTCTGTATCCAAGGTTCGTGTAATTTGTCGTGCTGTATTCAGTTTGTGGTGGTGTTCTCAAGGTATGGGAGGGAAGGGGTTTCAAAAGCAATGTGCCAAACACACTTTTTCTCAACAAATAGTCAAATGAAATGGTAACATCCCACCGAGCACTTCCAGCCTTGCCTTGGCGAGCCCTCAGGTTTGGAGAAAGAGGGAGCAAACAGCCCTGTTCTTTGAATTTCCTGGGAGTGTCTGTGTGCACAGTCACAGGGGCTGAGAACGTGATGTGGGAGCCTGCAGACAGCGTTTTCAGAAGTGATTAATGGCTGGGAGACTCCGGGTATGGCTGAACAATTGGGACACTTTAAGGAGCCTAGGGTTTCAATAACATATAAACAGCATTTTTTTTGTGCATATAGATGCTTCCATATCTAAGGCAAAATGTCAGAATTTCAATGATTCCTAGAGAATTGTCATGAATAAAAGAGGAGAAAAATAGCTAAAAATATGTGGAATACACTTTTCTTGGCGTTTCCCCAAACCTTTGACATACAGCTCCCTTGTCAAAATTGACAGCGGTATTACATTTATGTAGCTTTCAGGCTCAGATCTTTAAAGTTGTTTAAACATCCATATGGCTTTTGTCCAAAACTTATCGATTGCTGTCTTTGTTATTTCATCCAGATTCGTTCCGATAAGGACAAAGAGATCCATATCAGGTACAGCATCACTGGAGTGGGAGCCGACCAGCCGCCGATGGAAGTCTTCAGCATTGACCCCGTGTCTGGCAGGATGTACGTGACTCGGCCGATGGACAGAGAAGAAAGAGCCTCCTACCATGTGAGCATAAAACATCCTGAATTTTATTTGGGTTCACAAGCTCAAAGCAAAACTGTGCCAGAATTGCCAGGTTCAAGAAGGGACACACAGATTTGAGAAGACCAGTTTTTTTGCTCAAAAAAGAGAGCCCAGTTCACCATTTGGACTGGTTCCGTGTCAGCAGAGATCTGAGGAGCTGATTGCACAGGGGTGGTTGGGCTTAACTAAGAGCTCAAGTCTCAGTTTCACTCTGACAGAGCAATGGGAGGTGTGTGTATGGAGATGCTGACTTTGTTTCTGCTTTCTTTTAGCGTGACCTGCCCTTGCTAAATCAGCCAAACCAATGCAAACCAGCATCAAACTGATGTCCTTTTCGAACACAAAGTCAGAGTTATTTGTGTAAAGTGATGCGACTTTGGGCTGCTTATTAAATCCATGCAAATTCATGTGTGGACTGAACCCCCCAAAACCATGAAAAGCCAATTGCTACATTAGCATGTCTTGGGAGATTACTAATTTAAGAATCATTACTGCAGCTAAACATGCAATAATTGGTATAGTCGTTTTTCATTTTAAATCACTAGGAGATGTTCAGGCAGTATGATGGGGGTGTGTCAGATAGGTTTTTAAATATGCAGATAGGCTAATATTAAATATGAGGAAATTAATTAAGATTAATTACACTCAAAAGTGGTGCCTCGTGCTATCCTAGTTCATAAAATTCTCTACCTGCAGAATACTTAGAGTGTAATTGGCTGTTACATTTTGGTATAAATTCTATCCCCTATATCGCACAGCGTAATTGCACAGCAGATACAGTCCCACAAATTGCTAAAAAAATGTGTTGCACCTTCCATGATAGCCCTGCAAAATTTCAAACACTTTCTGCATCTACGCTTTAGTTCTCTCCTGGAGTGGTTGTGAACGGTTGTTTCACGGATTGCTTTGTATCAGCATTAGCCACATCTATCGGCATCGTAATAGCCGTTCCCACGGATGCTGTAATGTCAGTGAAGCAGCACGGGTCACTTCCACTGACACCATATTCCTAACTGCGCCGTCGGAGATGCACATTCTGTCAGCTTTATCAGGTATCCAGTTAACCATGTTGACACAGCGTCTGGACTGGGGTGGAAGGATAAAGAAAATAGATTACCTCTTTAGTTGGGTGGAAAAAGAGATTTCCCCTGGGTTAAAGAAGATCTGAAGGAAAATTATTTTATCCTCTGTGAACAAAAACAATTATTTTGTTTGTTGTGCCTAGGAAAATATGAAGAGAGGTTGTTTTGAAAAAGGAGTGCTGAGATACAGTATGTGTCATTCAGCATTGTTGATAGTGTTTCAGCAGGGCCAGGTTATTATAACAGTGCAGTCAATAACACGATACACAAGTTAAGACTTTTGATGGAGCCACTGTGATGAGAAAGATTTTGTCCTCCATAGTAACAAATCACGTGTCCCCTAACAACAAACTTAACCTACCCGTTACAGTGAATTCAGTAAACTGAATTCTCACCTTGGCGAAGGTGACTGGGTAAGTCTGCCTTGTACGCACCGCAGGACTTCCAGCCTTTTCTCTTCCTTATGGAAGCTTGAACTGGTGACATCAATATGTAAATTAGCATGTTCACACTCTGAAGGTTACAGGAAGGTGTAGTTTATAGGGAACGGATATCTGTCAAGTATGTTGTGAGACTTTATAGACAAGAATAGTGAGTGACAAAATCTCTGTTAGCAGAGCAGTAGAAGGTGACGGAGAAGATTTTAAGTCATGGCTGTAAACAACCTTTAGATCCTTCAGCCTCAGTGGCAATGGATTGATGATTTATTGAACCATCAATTGTTCATTTAATAACCCTTTACACAGCATTTGTAAATACACCATGCACAAAGCAATGACTCAAGCACTAGTGCAGAAACTTACAGTAGGAATGGACAGTCCTAGAAAGTGAAAAAAATTAGGCCAGCTTCCAGACAGAAGATACAGTCCAAAGTCTTGGCTGTTTCAGTTTTTGGAGAAGTCAATGAATTTATGCCATTTCATATAGCTGAGTGTCTAATTGCAAAGAAAGGCAGACTTGGAGCCAGGTTTATACCAAGTACTGGAAGAGCAGTGACTGAGGAGTAGATTTGAATCTGAGCTGTAGAGTTTGGCCATCTTTAAATCGATTTGAAATCTGCTGTAGAGTTTTATTTAGCTTGGATTAGTAGCTTAACTCTTCAGCTGGAGTAAAGGATGTTGGTGGAGCTGCAAGACACCATCCCTGGTCCCTTTTACCCAGCAGGACATGGGCTTCTTGTCCAATATGGCCTTGCTGCTCTGGCTGAAGTTTGGGTACATTTATACAGCTTCAGGTTTTCTGCAGTCCTAAACACAAGGAAGTCTTTTCAGCATCTCTGTCACTGTCAACTGTTGTCCTTGCTGTTTTCATTCCCAGGTAATCTAAAAACTAATTATAAAAAAAAAAAATAATTTGCAAGTGTTTGTGAGACTACATATGAAGAGTTCTGTTTCATTAACTCCCACATTTTCAACACATATTTTCTTATGCATAATTATCTGTATTGCTTCAGGACTACCATTTTTAAAATACTAGTGTTTTAACTCTCCCCGCATTTAGCAAGCCATTTGTCTGATGAAACCTACCTTTTTCCCTAAGGTGAAACAGATTTTTTTCTAATTAGATCTGGAGTTCTGTAGCAAAACTTCCCTGTGCATTTTCAAGATGGTTCTTGAGCTTTTAGGGCAGGATCGTTGCGAGTTTGATGTACGCAGAAACGTCTGTGCCTCTGGGACTCCGTGTGTGCCCAGGTGCAGTGTGTGCGAGGTTCCTGCGCTCACCTCCCAGCACCGCCGGCCGTGGTAGCGATCGCGAGTTCAGCTGCGTTTTGGCCTCATCTGTTTTCTGTCGGCGCCACAATCCCGAGCACAAACTCCCCAGGAGCTTCGCAGACATCCCAGACGCGCAGTCGGCGGCGAGTACGAGCAGAGAAAAATGAGAAGTGGCTTTGCCACCACTTCATCGTGGTGCAGAACTGTGGGAGTGATGCTGTGGGAGCTGCTCCGGCGTCTTTAGCACCCGTGTCGGGGACGCAGCCGTGGGGCACGCTCCCTGCGCCAGCACGGCGTCGTTCCCCCCATCCTGCCGCCGTCTCGCTGCGGCAGACCTGGGTTGTCGCATCTCCCCGTGTAGTCAGCCCTCGATGTCTGTTGCATGCCAAATAAGTTTCAGCAGGTAGTAATATTTAATATGCATGAGTTCTCTTGGCCTTGTTTAGCTGCGTTCCCCAAGTCCCGTTGGTACTGCTGACGGAATTAGTGACTGAATGTCTTTTCTGATCCAGACACCGGTTTCCTATCAAGCTGCAGTTAGGCCTGGCAAGTACAAGGGGTAGTAAATTGGCAGGTTAGTTTTCCGAGACGTTCTTCAAGCTCTGTTTTCAAAAGACATCAACATAAACGTGTCAGTAAGTAGTCATTGCTTATGGTACTTGCGTAATCTTCATTATGGGGAAACTTTGAAGCAAGTCCTAATCCAATCCCAGACACATGTGTATGCCTTCAGCGTCAGACTAATAAAATACTGTCTCAGAAATGACTGGAGCAGAAGAGGTGGGTTGTAGTCGGAGAAGGAGTTGTTTGAAGTGCAAGGAGACAAAAAAGTTTACTAGAAATTAAGGGATACAGGAGCTAATTCCAGTTCTAGTGAGTAATGCCAGCCGTTTGTGTCACAATACTCTAATTTGAACTTTTAATCACAATTAAGAGCACACAAATTGGGCATGACACTGTATGCTTATTGCTTAAAGGCTCTGTCACTGATTGATAATGTATATTTGTGTTAGTAGTATTAGTGCATAAGTAATATTCATATTTAACACAATTCGCTGTGTTGACTTTGACTAACTACCTTCAGATACCACCAGTCTCCAGTGTAATCAATAATCGTGATACTGAATCATTTGTATGCCAACAGCTACATTTACACAGGAAACTGTCAGTAGAAAAACCTCAGAGACCTGTGGTAGCTGCTGCTAAATATGATAGCCATGATTGTCATACTTTTAAACACTATTTATTAAAGAATACCAAGCCACCTCCTCGGCTGGTGCACAGCGGAGCCATACAGCAGCTAGACATTAGCCAGCTACCTGTATTAATTTTTCAGAATCCTCTGCAAGGTATTTCATTTGATATTCTTTATTTCTTCTCTACTCCTGTCGCATTCTCCCTCTTGGGGACAATGTAAATATTTCAAACCAACTTTGTAAATGTTTCTTAACTGTATCTGCAGCTAGCCACCAGCTTGCGTTTCAATACTCATGCATGACCTGTGTCTGGCATGTGTCCTGTGGCCCAGCTTGTGCTCACTGGCCTTTTCAATGGTGGCTTTTCCAGCTCTGAATGACCTGTGTGTCTGACGGAGCGCAACCATCACGTTTTCAGCCTTGCCCAGTGCCACAGAGCACTCGTGTCCATCTGCTTTTCATCCCGTCCATCACTCTACCGCCACAACACCCACTTGGTCACAGGTGGGAGCAGAAGGCACCTGAGCCATGGAGCCCCGCGTTAGTCACAAACTGTCTTACACAAATGAGCCCTGTCTCAGCGTCTGAAGAACGATTCCAGCACAAAGTGTGTTGTCCAGCTTGAGGATGCCTCATTAATACAAAGAGTCGGGCAGGAGAATAGGGAGAAGATGAATTAAGGAAGGAAAATGTAGTATCTGATCTGCCTTGGAGATGCAATTAGTCTCCCAGTGGAAAGACTGCCCCACCAGAGTCCCTCCTTCCTTTGCTCTCTCTGCTTGGAATGGTGCTGGGAAAAGCTCTCAATGAGATTTTAGATCCAGCCCTCTGGCTCAAGCCTCTCTTCTCCCTCTGCTGCAGTTGACACTGACCACAGAGGAGCAATGAGTTGTGGAAGGATACAGAGATGTTGGAGAAACATTAAAAGATTATGAATAGAAAAAGTTCACGCAGGCAAGCACAAGAGGAAAAAAGACGAAAAGTTCATGGAAGTCAGGCAGAAAAGTAGCGGAAGAGAGAAGTGGGGTGGGCAGAAATGGTGGCTGTAACAGCTGCGTTGGAAGGCAGAAGATGAACAGCTGCAGCCACCCAAGCACGAGCACAGTCCAGGGCGTAAGGGCACAGGGTCTGCTGTGCTGGGCTTGAGGAGTGGGTGCTGTCCTCCTGGCTGCCCAAACGTCGTTTAAGTCCCCAGGCACTGTCCTCCCTCCCATATCTCAGCCCTGGGGTTGGGCTTGGGGCAGAGGTGGCACTTGTGCGTGTCGCCACAGGTTTGATGAGATTCCTGCAGCTTTGCTTATTGAATCTTTTTTTCCTTGGGTGCTGGCAGCAACGCGTTTGTGAGTACATGTGCTTAGTGAGTGCAACAAGCAGATAGTCGTGCATTGCTGAGAAATCCCTTACTCCTGGAGATTTCAAACAAAAGCTATCAAATGTAATTAAAAATTTGCAGGGGGAAAGTCAGATCTGAGGGGGAAGATATCAGCTTCGCTCCCTGCTTTATCTCTGAATGGAACTGTTTCCGCTGCTGGAAATGCAGCAAGAGAGAGCCCCGTGCTGCCTCAGTTTGAAGATAATAACTTTAATTTTAGCTCTGAATTACTTTTTTTCAAAGGCAGTCTGACCTCTGACTGGTAAAGTTATTGAATTGCTACGTCTGACGTGATGAAGGATAGCTCAACAGGTGGGACTCAGAGTGGTTTGTATGCAGGCAAGAAATGCAGATATTAAGAGCATTACAAGTCGTGAAATACAACTGGTACATCCTGTATTGAAAACGAAGTGGACTTGAAAATGGACTTCTTCAGTCTTTAAAGAAAAAGTGCTGCTTAACTTCCTTTTTTAAAAAAAAATGTTTTTCTCCCAGCTCATTTCACATGGCAGTTTGTTCTCTTTGCTTGATTAAGTGTTAATCCAGCCCATCCTAATAGCGTGCAGTTTCTTTTGTTAAGCTCTGGACTTCTGAACACCATACATGGAGGAGAAAGTCGCATCAATCACAGCACAGCAAGAGCGAAAGACGGAAACCAGTGCAAATGCAATTAGCACATTTATTTGTCATGCATCAGAGGAGCTAGAGACCTCCTTGGCACAGGAGCTCCTGCTCCCGGCAGCATCCCGATGGCCTGAGGAGCTGCTGGGAGGGACCGGAGAGTTCTCCTTCCCTCTGAAGGCACAAGCCAGTGCGTGTCGGCACTCTCACATATCATACAAAATGCTCACTGTGGAGGGGTAGGTAGGTGCCCTGTCCCTCAGCCCCACTCTTCCAGGCTGCCCTTGCACCAAGCTAACATCCTCTGAAACCTTCATTCTTCATTCCACCAGCCTTGTGGGATGTCACGCAGCTGTCCTGAGCTCCGTCCCCGATTCTGGTGGCAGTGTGGAGGTTCAGCAATGCTCACTGGTACTGAAAGGAAGAGGGGTGACGAGCGAGACCCGCGGTGCCCCTGTGATGCCCACCGGGCAGCCCTTGCCTTTCCTGGCCTTTGGGTTTTTTCCTTCCCGAAGCCGATATCCGCAGCTCCGCTCGGCGCACACGCCGTTTAGAGTAGCCATCTGTTCCCTTTAATGAGAAAGCTGTCCCTTTTTTTCACCTGATTACTGATTGTTCCAGACTATTGTTGATTGCTTTGTTTTATTAATTACTCATTTTGACATGCTGTATCTGTCCCTTTTGTTCAGAAAACAGATGCTCTTGTTTTCGAGCGCTATTACTGATGGTTATTGCTAATAAGATAAAGCCACAGTTCCAGTTTAACTGAGGACTTAACACTGTGGCTCTGGTTATTGTAATGCTTCATCACTGGATATTTTAGTCGAGCCTGAGAAAAATATTTTGTTCTTAGTGCCACAGGGCTCCCATCGTTTGAAGGAAAGGGGCTTTTTTTATGTCTTTTGGTGCATAGAGTGATGAGGTCGGTAGCTGTTGCTGTTCCTAGAGACCGTGATTAAACAAAGAATCAACAAAACTAATGTCATTCTGAAATCTCTTCACTTACTAATGCCTGTTACTGTGGGCATGAAAGGCTACAGGTTCCCCTAGGAAGCCTCTCAAGACAAACTTATTTCCTTGCTGTGTTTGGAACTAAGCAAAATTTGCTTTTCAGATTATGAGACAAGGTTCACCACATATTAAAAATTAAAATATAGTGGTCTATTAACAATGAAAGAGATAGCATCACTACACCAGAGTTAAAGTGCTTCTACTGACAATTGCTATTTTAAAATATTATTTCAATATTATGTTAAGCCTTGAAAAACTGTCTGTGTGTAGAGTCTAGATGGAAACCACGTCACTGCTTTCTGCTGGAATTAGATACCCACTCAGTGCAATTTTGAGAAAGTATTTATGAGGTGAAGTCAATTCTTACAAAACATGGTCTGTCATTCTGCAACAAATCCAATTGCTGATACTATGCTTTCGTTGTGCTTATTCCCAGCTCCGGGCTCATGCAGTGGATATGAATGGAAACAAGGTGGAGAATCCTATTGACCTTTACATCTATGTGATTGATATGAATGACAACAGACCGGAGTTTATAAACCAAGTCTATAATGGATCTGTTGATGAAGGCTCTAAACCAGGTACAGTTAAAAAAAACTCTTAAAATTATCACAGGCTTTCAAACATTAATCTGGCATGGTGGCTTTGCCTCCTCTTGAAATAGAAGGAATGTTGAAGGGGTATGCTATTGCTGGCTCTTTGTTGAAGACAGATGGAGGAGAGAACAGTCTAGCTGGTATCTCTCTGGATGTAGAGAAAGCAGAGATTTGGGTTAGAGGGATTCTGGATCCTGGCAGGCCCTTCCTAGATGTGGAATTTGCAAAAGCAGCAGTTTTGTAGAGTAATGCTCTGTTTTGCCATTCTCCTACACTTGTTACACGTGTACAGGGCTGTTATTCTAACTGCAGAGTACTGAAAGCGAACCTGACAGTGGCCTTTCACTGACCCTGAGCCTGAAATGCTCAATATCTGCATCCTTAATATTTAATCCAGTCATTTGCAAACTTGGTATCTGGCACCTGGTCAGACTCCAAGTAGGTCTGTATCCCAAAGTGTGAAGAAGATACTTTCCTATTTGAGGCCTGATGCAAATCTCTTGAAGTGGGAATATTCCCATGGAAATTGCTGGCTCGTCCTCTGTCCCTGTGGACTTTTCATACACAGGGTGAAACAGGGGAAAAACCCAAAGTAGAATTTCAGAAAATTTATGGGTGAAAAATTAGTGAGGGTATGAGCTGTACATGGAATACAAGTGATGATTCTTACATGGACATGTTTATATGCTTGGAAAAATACAGTTATAAGGGTCTTTAATGCTTTCTTTTCAACTATATTGTTGATTTGTTATTTAAATGCAGTTTCCAATATGGTAGCAGGGTTGTTTTAGCTTATTGCTGAGCATAACTAAATATGAGCATATTCATTCTTTAATCAGAAATTACACTGTGAAAACTGTCACCAGTACATTTGTAAGTCTCTTGAAATCAGAAGGAGACTTTTCCAACACAAATTTTATCCCCAGTTGTTTGCCAGCCGAGGGGTTAAATGCCGCGTGACTTTGTTTTGTGTCAGCAAACATTTATCATGGCTGCTCCGCTGCCCGAGGGGTCATAGGAAAGTCTCCGGTGGCCACTATTTTTAACAAGGTGATTCGCAGTCGTGATTGATTGTCTTTCAGCGTTGTGAGGAATGGGCTGCTGCGGGGACTGAACGTGACATTATTTTTGAGGAAGTAATAGGTACAGCTCCCTTCCTGATATACCTTGGGTGGGGACAGACCAGCTTCGAAGTGCTGATCCTGGTCGCGCTCAGCAGAGGGGACACGAGAAGTCCCTGAGCCGACGGCTCTAACGACATCTTCCCAGAGGATTTTCCGGCTTTCATTTGAAGGCCACTTTGGGGCATGTCAGGGTTTGCAGATTGATACAACATTTCCATAGCAAATCAAATTTCTTACATCTTATTCTAGGACAGATCAATATTCAAAGTGTTCCCAAATGTTTTAACTAGCTCTGCTCATTTGTGTGAAAGAAGCAGTAAATTGCATCCTCTTCTTGTCTGAAATCCAGATAAGCCTTTGAGCTATTAAATCAGAATAGGATAACTTTGCCTACAAAATACTTGTTCCTCTGCTTCTACCAGTCATTTTTTGGTGTTCTGTATCCCAGGCTGGAGTGCTTGCCTTTAAGGCAGGTAGGTAGAAAGCAATCTGTTTTTATTCAAAAGCAATTACATTTGTCTTTGATGTATTTGAGGTTTTTTTCCCTCTTTCCTGTTTAATCGGCATTCTTTTAAAGGTTTCTATTAGTATTGAATTTCTGTTCTTTGCTTTTGTAGAACCTCCTGGGAATTTGGGTATCTCTGAGGCAGTCATTCCATGTATTTGGCAATAAACATGATGTTGTGTCTTTGAGAAAGCGATAGAGAGGTCACAGAGTTGCTGTGGATGTCTGTGTGCTCCTCCTTTGCCTCCAAGTTACGTGTCTGTTTTGTGTAGAGACAAGTTTAGACAATGTGTTTAGCTAAGCATAGATCTTGCAGAGATTTTGAAACTTTTTTATAGTTCAAGATGCTTCAGCCTGTTATAATAACTAAGGAGGTGTCACACCAGCCTTTGCAAGAGAAAAAATATGCAGGCAGAATTCGTGATTGTTTGTGGTGATGGTCGAAAAATGAAAGGCATTCTTAGAGGTAACAGCAAAATGTGTTCAGTATTGATTCAACAGTAAGTTCTGTATGTATATGCATCTATAAATATACATATGCATATGTGTGTATATCCATGTACAAAGTACAGATTTGCTTTAAGCAAACTAAAAAATCTTATTGTATGTTATGGGAGTTCAGCATTTCTTTTCTGCTGTTCATTGCTATTGAACTGTGCCTGAGGACTGAAAAAGCTTTCCTGGATACCTTGTACAATTGTTATTTCTCACTTCTTCCATATGCCCATTTATAATGGCTGTGATTAAAAATGTAGTATTAACTCAATTACCACAGACAATATCTGCAATGCTCTTAATAATTCTGCACACCTCCTATGAGAAAAGTGGCTAGAGTACCCCAAATAACTGCTGACTCTGAGGGCAGCTAGTGTGCGCAGCCAATGACTGTTTGAAGTCAGTAGGAATTTTGCCCAGATTTAAAAAAGAGAAAAAAGAGACATATGGAGCTCAAGCTCTACCCATGGAAATTTTGCAGAGCAAAACCATCAAAAATATGCTGTTGAGCACAGACTGAGCAGGTCGCAGTGACCTTGAGCTGCAGGGAAAGCCCCTGTAAGGCTTTAGCAGGATCGATAGAGCAGATCCTGTTCAAAGAGAGCAGGAAAGGGCTCTGCGGTGCTGTCACAGCACCCCGGGGCAGGGGGCAAAGCAAAGGCATCCGGAGCGTGGGCACTGCAGGCAGGGCTGTGCCTCTGGACGATGCTGCACCACGAAGCACAGCATGGTCCCCTCTTAGCAGCTGGGATGCGATGAGCTGGAAGAGCACGCCATGCCATCATCTCTGACCCAGCTGCAAATTGTGCCTGGCCATGGCAGGGCATAGAGGGTGGCCAAGATGAGCCCTACTGACTCTGCAGTGAATAAGCCAAAAGGAGGTAGAGTGAACCAAGAACGAGAACGCAGGAAGGATGAGTACTCCAGCCTGCAGCACGGTGTGATACTGCCTCCCGCAGAAGCAGCAAGTTTGCTTCAGCCTAAAATACAACATCCTTCAAAGGGGATTGTCCAAGAGCTGGAAGAATTGGCAGCAATGTGAAGAGACTCATTAGAGACAGTCCGATGGGGTTTAAGTGAAGGGACTTCCCAGACTGCGGAGCACTCAGACTGCCTGGGTTTCCAAGGAGCATGCTCTCTGCTGTGTGCGAGTCACCTTGAAGCAACCCTTGACAGGAATAGAAAAGAAATCATCAAGTATTATTAATTATAATAGATTGTTGTTCCTGGTTAGGATTATAATAGCTTAATTGAAATAGTGTCTTACACCGTAGCATAGTGTTCTGGAAATCAGGAGCTCATTCTTGGTGGAATAAAGTTCTCTGTAGTGTGACCACGTGTGTCACAGCCTGGCCCCTGTGCATCCTCAAATGTGTGTTGGCTCTTAAACTGAATTGCATTTATTTTTCCTTTTCGCATACTCTGGAAAACATTTTAATGCATTTTTAGTTTATCTCGCCTAAGGTCATGCAGCTGGACAATTTAAATGTGTAAATTCAGGCCCTTCCGAAAATGCCAAACAGAAATAATGATGCAAGATTTTCTTTTCCACAAGACCATCTTTCTTCCTTACTCTGCCCCTCCACGAGTTGTTTTGATTTAACGTGCCACTGTTTGAAAGTGTATCTTAAAAGACCGTGTTTTACTCATATTGAATAATGTTCTACTTCTTTGAACTTTGCCTCCGCCTCCATGTGAAGAACACAGCCAAGTTTTAAAAATGCAGCTGCAAGCTCGAGCTGAAATTCCCCTGGTCCCTCTGGCAGCCTTAATCAGCAAAGTTCTCCCGGAGCTGCAGAAGTTGCCTTTCAAGCGCTGATAAAGCGGGATGGGTTGCACAGCTTCGCTGCCCAACGCCGCCTGCCCTGCGAGGATTCTGCTGCCCTTTCAAAGCCCCCGTCTCCGAGCCGCACCACGCGAGCTCCGCTGCCTTACGGCAGAACAGAGCTGGGCTTCAGGATGAGCTTTTTCCCCTCTGTACAACACCAGTTACTGCCTGCAGTGAGCCCAGCCCCTGCGCTTGTACCGCTGGGCTTGCAGCATCCCGGGGGTGTCCTTGGGAAGTGCTGTTTCAAAAGAAATTCAGCAGTTTCAAAAAAAAAAAAAAATTGCTCAATAAGATACAATGAAAATGCTTAAATGTAAAAGAAAAAAGAGTATTTACTCACAGAACAAATATGTGATGGAGAAGGATTACTTTGGTCTCTGCAGAAGCTCAGTTTTGATACAACCACCACAAAACGTACCTTAAGGTAGGATGTGGATGTCTTACTTAACTGAAGCGTTCAGTTCTGAAAAGGTCAATGTGAAATGCTCCGCAGTGACTGGAGTGCTTTGCTCTGGGTTGTATCTATTTTGTTTTAATGGAAAGATTGTCAAAAATTAACACATCTCTCCAAAACAATTTGTTCCTGTCAGACTGGCCTTTTCCATTCCCGTTCATCCTTTCCAGTTCGCTAACTCTCTGGATACATCTTGGTCCCTTCCAAGTCAATAGCAAAAGTCCAAGTGCTTTCTTTTAAACTAGGGTTTCATCCAGCTCCTTCTTTCTCATGGTGCTGTGTAGGATAGTTTACTCCTGCCACCCTCCCTGGGAGTGGCGTGAAAGGGTGTTAAGTATGGACAATCCTCCAAAATAAAGGAATGTTGGTATTTCTTACATGAGAAATGTTATAATTTACAATTTCCCCATCTCCTCCTGACTTCAGGGAATTCCGATACAATAATTGTTGATAGCATGCCACGTGAAAAATGAAATAGCTGGGAGCCAAATCTATATGTGGCAAATTGAGTTAAAGAAATCTCATAAAAATAAGCAGTATATAAAAAAAACCCAAGGATTTTAAAAGCCGATTATTCTA